TTGAAATATTCCTATGAAATATACTCCTATAAAGAAAAGAGTGTACATAAATTGATCTGTGATCTATGAACAAATTTTCTCTCAGTAAACAGTAGCAAAACGAATAACAAATATTCTGCTTACAGTGCAGTCTTACTTTTAAAATCAAAGCAGTTTTGCTTTATATTTCAACGGACACGACTCTGTCTGAATCTTCAGTGATCATATACTATGGCTATAATAATCGTTCAGTAGATAAAGTCGAGAATCTGGAGTGCGAAAGATGATATATTAACAACCTCGCCAAGATTTAGGCATACGCCTGTTATTTGAGAAATGTTTCACCCAAATTTATACAGCTTTGTATGAAGATGCCATTTTAACAGAAACACCCTGTCAAGTTACAACTTTGTAAGCGTCTTGTTTTTATAGTATCTTGCCACTGATGAAAGTAAAACCTGAGAAAGATTAGGTAAATTTTAGTTTTGGAACATGACAACGTCACCTGAAAATCGGCAATTCAAACAGCACGACAACAGGTACACATCCAATGAACATTTTGCCTGTGCAGACACTCTTCTATCCTTGGCCTCTGTACCGATTTATACCGATTTATACTCACTCAGTCAAAGACAGCATAGGGAATCTGTTCCTATCACGCCTCTCTCCGTCGCCCCAATTTTCGCGTGATCAGCAGGCGAGAAACTTCTCGCTTGAACGGGAACGCCTGCTACATAGGCTAAAAATTTACAGTCATTCTCAGGCTATACATGTATGTACAAGGTAACTTAGATTATGTGGTTTTCGAAAATTTAAGGTGGCTTAGAACCTCCCTGGCAGAATTTTGTAAACTTTGATAAAGTTGCATCTTATCATGTTCATCACAATTTAATAATAACAAAAAATGGGGGCTCACCGAGCTCGTGTTTGAGCTTTATCATTTAAAGCTTAAATTAAGGTTGTTTTACCAGGTTATACTGTTGCTATCGTAACCTATTAAGCTATAAAGATTATCATTAAAGGTTCGCTAATGGCCGGGATTTATGTGATACCGATATTGTAGCCATCACTTGAAAAACAGTGGTAGTATTTACTCGTCAAAGTATAACTGTTATAAAAGAGCTGGAATCTGTTGCCAGCTTCCTTGAACATCTTGGCAAAAATAACTTCGGTTTACGGCCAGACTGCTTATCTTCCCGAAATCACCTATTACAAAAAAATATACGTGATACAAACGCCTTATTTTCCAAGTGGGGGCAGACGCACTAGGAAGTTTTGAAAGTTCAATTGAGTTATCTTAGTGACTCAGACTTACGATATTTTTAGCTTGTCCGATGAACCCAATGCTTTTACTATACTGGGCGAAAGAGTAACTATAAATATTGTTTTATTTCAACAGTTAATTAACGGTGATCTTTGGGTATTCTGAGCTTATTATTTTAAATTGGTATTATAAAATAAGAGCATTTATACGATTGATCTTGGTATAGTTGCCGACACGCAAGCTAAAGACCTGTCTTTTATTGACTTAAAGTAATGACTTTTACCGATTTACACTGTAAAATGAAGAGTCAAGGAGTCTTAAATTTTAAATCAAAGGCACAAAATGTCGATTCACATGTGAATTTTAACTAGTTCATTCCAGAGATATTTCCCATGTCAATCAGTAATACATTCTTTTGTAACAACACGAGACTGTGAACTTTTGCTCGACCGTTGTCAGACAATGATCGTGTACAACAACTTTGTAAAAAAGAAAAAAAGAATTATGAAACACATACGTGGCGCGCCGTACCCAAAGATGAAAATTGGAAGACCGTTGCATTTCCAGAGGACTAGCCATGCAAGATAGGGCTGAAAAGATTCAGTACCTCGGTAATTCATGGCTAAGGTCGGGTTTAAAATCATTTTGCCTTTTGTTTGTTGTTGTTGTTGTTGTTTTTAGTTATTCATGGACAGCCCCTTTGGCGAGGTTTAATAGAGTACGCATTTGTAATAAAACTAGTCGAGAGGGAAAATCATTAACGTTAGTTCTTTAATCCGATCCGATCTGATCGAAACGGTCCGATTCAATAACGTGTTTCCATACATAATGACCAACAGATTGAAGTGCATAATAAGACAAAAGGGTAACATGCATCAAAAATAATTTTACCTGAAACCCTGATATTTGAACGAATTTACCAAGGTTAAAATAAAAATAGATTTCGTTTGATTCGAAATGATTAAGAGGATGAGTATGGTAGAGTCAGCGGTCTCTCGGCTTTTGTGCTGACCTCCGTGGAAGCGGCAGTATGCACACCGATACTCATCTTCCAGAAGAACTTCTTGCGATCTAAACGCGGGGACTTCTTAGCTCCAAAATTTAAGCTTTCAAAGCCTTCTAGCTAAACAAACAAGCTAGTCAAGACGTCTAGCTTGGATAGTTCGTTATCTGATTCTTGAAGAAACCCACAACTTCGAAACAATGTTTCGATAGGGTATTTAAGCGTGGCCTTGGAGTCGAGCTTTTGCGACGATTTTCTTCCAAATATTCTCTTTTCCACCCATGGCCGAAGATTGTCGTTGTATTCGTCAGCCCACCAGATGTGAACAGTTTTTGAGTGTGGACAATAGACGTGATCTAGATTATTATATCTTGCTGTGAAACAAGTTTCGCAGTGATCAGACTAAACATGTTAATGGCGAGAGTGATCACAGCTTTAGACCGCACGAGCCAGATCGTGGACCTGCTGCCTGATTAGGATGGATAATACAAAGGATTTTTTTCAGCCATATGAGGAGGCAGCATTCAAGCCTCCGCTCTTTCTTTACTGCTCTCCGGCTCAGATTTATTTCTACGTCAATTACACCTTACCTCGCCTCCCTGGATCCTGATACAAAACGCAAACTCATCACAGTAAATTCAGCGAAGGTGTGTAGTCCATTTCTTAAGTACAGGGCTCTTCCATTTTTGTATTCAAAATTCAAGACGTTTTCCATAGTTATTTTATGTTAAACCAATATTTTTTCCAATATTTTTTTTCCAGACTCGAGGTTTTGAGAAAATTTAATTCACACTCTAAAAACGCCAGAACTGCAGAATATCAAACTAGTACGCATTTGCCCCTTCAACATTCCATAATAGCTTTTTGAAACAGTAGAATTCAAAATGGTTGCCGTATCGCCGAAAAGGTCCATTGCAATGCAACGCGAACTCGATAAATGTCAGGGGTAGGTTAAGGTGCAGAGAGTTCTCAAGATTCTGCGATTGCACATTTGGCTAAGACGTTGTTTGCACGATACTGTAAACTGCCGCTTATAAGCCCCTCCGCTATTAAGCCTCCCTGGCTATAGGCCCAAGCACCCGTAAACCAAGAGATACATCCGGTTATAAGTNCCCCCCGCCCCCCGCTTATAAGCCTCACTCAAGCTTTTCCTTGTTTTTAATTTGTTAACTGATTATGATGTTTCAAGCCCTGGCCAAACAGACTCGCAAGTAGACGCAAGTTGTAAACTCGGGTCTACTAGCAAATCCGTTTGGCCAGAACTTGCGTGCTCTCGCGTAGACTTGCGATGACTTGCGCTCACTTTGGTCGAACTCAAATATGCACGCAAGTCAACGCACGTTTTTTACTGTGTGGCCACCAACTCAAGTTGAGTGAGTTCCATTCGTTGTTATGGCAGCCTATTTACCAATGAAAGACAGGATACGTCTGCCTTGAAATTTTTTTTGGCGACTTTCATGTACTTCCGAGGAACGTTACGAGTAGGTTTGGCTACCCAACACAAGCCTCTTCTCAAGTTCAACTTGGAGCTACTTGAGACTACTTGCTTGTCCGTTTGGCCTGGGCTCTAAAGCTTCATTACCAGTAAATGAAAAACTTATTTCGATCATTTTGTGTAGCTGTAGCTCGTTTCGAAAGGTTTTTTTTTTTTACTCCAGATATGAGCCCCCTAGGATAATTCCCTCCGTTTATAAGTCCAGCTAAAAGCTCTTACGAAGTTGTATAAGCCCAGGGTTAATTAGCAGTTTACCATAAATCTCCCTGGGCTTATATAACTTCATGAGGAGTTTTGGGTGGGGTTATATTCGGGGTGGTGGTTGGGGAGGGGNGGGGGGGGGGGAGCATATAAGCGAAATAAAAGGAATGTTTCGGAACAACGAGATAAAACGTATCTGAGAAATGAATTACAGCTAACGTACGATTACCTTTACAGCTATTACTCTATTACCCTATAACTTTCGATTAAAAATTTTTTGATGTTTGTACTGAGGAAAGGAACGCTCTTGTTCATTACATGGATTTACATTCGCATATCCGTTGGAGCTTATATCGGGTGCCCCCGATGTAAGCACGGTGGAGGGGCCTTACATCTGGAATAATATCTTTGTTAGCAAATAGAGGGACTTATTTCCGAGGGAGCTTATAACCGGGGGGGGGCTTATAACCGAGGGGGCTTTATTTAACTTGGGATTTTACGGTATTCGACTAGACAGCAAGCATTTCCAACGTCAAGTCAATTTGTTTTTGCCCAACGTACGTTCTACATAATGGTGTTATCGCACAAGTTGGAAGAAAAATTGCCGAACATTCTGATAACGGGAAATTTGCAAAACGTACAAGCGGATATCGTAATGTTTTTGTTGCAGCCAGCATCGAAAGAGAACGGAACCAAGTACTATTTAGCTTATATAAGTACTATAAGTACTATTTAGCTTAACGCTATTCGGATCGGGCTTCTAATTACATGAAAATTCCAAAATTGGAAAGCCGAGAATATGCCTGTCAAAATATGGTTGCCATAGCAACCTCAAGTTCCAAGGAAAAAACTGTCATGTATCATTGTTGCCAAATAAATTTCACAAAAACAGACGCAAAATTTGTAGCTTTCACTTAAATATCAAAAAAGTTTAAAACGGTCAGGCACCACCTACTTCCCTTACAAGGTCATCCCTCATATAGTAAAATTAATCAAATGAAAAATTGAACTTCAGGATCACTCTTAATTACGAACAAAAAATTAAAGTATTGCTCAGCACCATTCATTCGAATACTGTAATTGCTAATACACTACATTTTCATCGCCAGATGTCGAAGCTACAACCTCTTAACAGTGAGAACAGCTGAGGCGACCCGTAAGCAATGAATTTACATTGCACTTTGACTCTATTCAAATGGCACTGTAGCAAGAAATACATGTAGAGCACTATCACTATAAACTGGGTGCGTTGTCTGACTCTCGCTGATATGATCGAGTTCTTATCCTCGACAGCATACGGCCTTATTTTTGTCTAATATCGAACTTTCATAGTATCCTAGGTATCTGAAGACGACGAAAGTTTACAATCTCTATGTTTGCTTCTGTGAGTACTCAACAATTCAGTCCTGATCAATGTTTACATTTCTTGCAAGTATCTACTCAGTGACTCTCCTGTACGAAGATGTGCTTCGTAAGCTTCCAGCCAAATCAATCCTTTCATGATAACCTGGTATAGTGTGTTGTCATCACGCCACAAAGCTGAATTGTAATGGCAGATCTGAGTACAACCATCTCGGCTTCCCAATACATGATCTGCTCCGCTCATACCACTCAGCAACGATCCATTTTTCCTTCGTAAACAAGACGAGGGAGAACTCACAACCATCTGTGGACAAGAATTCGGGTAGTCTGAAGGAAGATACACTCTGAGTGTGTACTGTTTGTCGTTGGTGCAAGTTACTCTGACTTCAACCCTTGTGTCCCCAGTTGGATTGATCCAAGAAACCCTATTACGGAAGTACTTCTCCAGTAATTCTTTCTCGAAACCGAGCCTTCGTTGCTGCGTTGCTGACCAGGGCATGATGAGAAGACAACCACGGTTTGAAAGTTGAAGTGTAGCCTTCTAAAACGAACGGAAATCGCGAATAATTAATCGCCAGCGAATTCCGTGGTTAAAGAAGTCTTTACTAGCCTTTGTGTTTCTTTGTTGTTATTTGTTTTTTCGCCTACTAATCATATTCCCACTTTCCCGGAAATTGGAGCATGCGTAGTTGACAGATAGTTCTGGAAATAACAACAACCGTAACTGATGACTGAAACGCCGGTAACGCCACATTCGCACTTCAAGTTTTAGGCATTTTATTTGGAGAAAATAAATGAATTTAATTATTGACAACAATGAATCGAAGCTGCCATGACCTACGTCGAGCAAGGTGACTTTAAATAAATACAATAAAAACGTTCGCTGGCTAAAAACTTTCAAACAGAACACAAGCTTTCGGCTGTCGATCTACAGCTTTCGACGGATAAAAATGGATGCAAAATTGGATAAAATATATGCAAAAA